AGAGAGAGAGAGAGAAGTCAGGCAGGAGTCTGGTCAATGGACGCCACGTCTCTACAAAGCTCCAATCACTGCAAAACCCTAAATGCAAGATCCAGGGCTCCACTACTTGGGAAATGATTAGGTCCCATGCCCTCTCTTTTTTTTTTTTTAAATGAAGTCCATGCTTTCTGTTAACAGAAATAGATGGATTTTTCAGAAGGAACACTACCTGCTCCCATACAACACTATACAGCTCTCAGCATCCCCCAGGCCAGATAGATTCCCAATGCATATTCATCCACACTGACTGCCCTTTCTCCCCACTGTCTCAGGACTACAGACTGCAAGGATGCTTAAGACACAGCTGGTGTATTGCCTCGCAGATCTGGAGTTATAACGCATTGATATTTCTGAGTTACAGAGCAGTCATTAACTGCTTGTTACAGAAATTAACTTACGTGTCAATGTCAAGGATTCAAGGCAGACATGAGACAGCTTCTTTCCACAGATGCTTTTCAGAGCACTGAGTTATATAAGAAGCAACCTGCGTTTGCCTCTCCCAAGCATGACACAGTAGGGTCCTTCCTAGAGCGGGCATGGGGACCAAATCCCCAGCCACAGCCTTCTCAGATCCCTAGACCCAAGTAAGTTCCTTTAAATATATAATTACACAGGCTCAAACATTCACATTCCTCAAGCCACTTGAAGCAAACTTCAATAGTAAAAATTGGGGGACTTTTTTGAAGGCAAAATAAAAAATAGATTCTTTATTCTCCACTGAATTAACTGAACATTACTTCTAAAACCTCTGCGGCAGACATAACATTTGATAAAGATGGTTTGTGTGTGACATGTACTGGAGCCCTAAAGGGTCAGGCAGCATTTCCATCCCTTAAATGGCATTATGAATTTTTCTGGACATCAGGGCAATGTGCAGAGCAGAAGGGGAAGGGACTGGTTTTACAGCCTCAGATCACCAACCCTGTAGAGACCAGGATAGAGGTTTTTACACAAGCTACTAAAACAAGCTTTGCAGCTTAAAGGAAACAAAGCCATGCCTAAATTCAGTGAACTGGAGACAGGGAGATACTGACCTGAATGCAAATCCTCCAGACTAATCATGACCTCTAGAGATACCAGTGATGCTGGGAAAAGGCCCCCTGAGAATTAATAAGGCTGTCTTTTAAGATGTGTTTCTCCACATCTCATTCACTGTGGAGCATCTGTAATCTCCCCCATAATCCCTGTCCTCCAGACACCTGTCTGCCCCCACCTTGCTCTTTCAGGACTCACTGAAGTGAGATCTGTTCAAAGGATATGGTGCCACCGGCTGCTGTCCCAGCCCATCATGGCACAGGCGGACAAAAGTCATTACCCCCAGGGAAGAGTTACCTTCCCATTAAACCTGGAAATTTAGAGACTGAGCTTAAATGCTCTTCATCCTCTACAGACAGGCCTCCTCCCTCACTCCGTCGCATTTTCCTCTGTGTATAGCAATGGGTCTTGGAACAACAGGTCCTGATCACGTGGTGAAAGGAGGAGGCCACAGACGACCAGGATGTCGAAGTCCTGGCTCACCCATCAGCAGCCCGAGGCATAGCTCAGCAATCCCATATCTGAAACTTTTGGGGCCAGAGAAGTTGCAGAATTCAGATTTTTTTTTTCAAATTTTGGAAAGCTAATATAACACACTCCCCAGCAGAGTATGAGGAAGCATCCTATAAACTCATTAATACGTTTTTGTACCAAAACATGAATATTCATACTGATCTTTTATCAGGTCAATCAAATTAGTTATGAAAAGGAACCCAGAGTTCTCAAGGAGGGGGGATTTGGCACCACCTGGTTCACTTTCCTCCAAGAGATTTCTAAATTCAATCACTCGGACAAAACACCCACAGCAGGGAACAAACAGGGTGACTGCCAAAACCTCAGGAGACCTTCCCTGACTCGGGGGATCCATGAGACAGACCAGCTGAGATGGGACCAGGCTGATGTGAAGAATCTCTGACATAGAAAATGCCCTCTAAGCTGAGCTTCCCTGGCCTCAGAACCCAGGGAGACCAATTCCAGAGCCCTCCACATTCAATCACTCCCCCGGGACTCCAGCACCTGGTTCCAGGCAGGACACAGTCTGTGTCCAATCGTAGACCATAGTAGGACCCACATGGCAGAAACGGACCAGACTTTTCAGAGCCCCCATGCTTACTCCCCCTCCCCTGTGTGCCTGACGTTATTAGCTCCACAGCGTGCAAGACAAATCCTGCTTTGATCTTCATCTGAGGCCTTTGAGAAGCAGAAAGAACATCTTATAGCTGCTGCCTTTTCTCTGGCCCTTTAAATGCCTGCATCCCTAGTTCCACCTCCCACCCTGTTCCCTTCTCACCCTGTGCATGCTTCTGGGCTAACTGCCTTCACTCCCATGGCCTCACCCACCACCTTCATGCTATGTCGACCACATTACCATCATTTAGTGCCCCCCTCCTTCCCACCACCAACTCACATTTGTATTGAAGTATAGCTGGTTTACAACATTGTGTTAGTTTCAAGTGTACAGCAAAGTGACCCAGGTATATACACATGTCTAAATTCAGTGAACTGGAGACAGGGAGATACCGACCTGAAGGCAAACCCTCCAGGCTACTCATGACCTCTAGAGATATCAGTGATGCTGGGAAAAGAATCCCTGAGAATTAATAAGGCCATATATTATTAATTGTTAATTATATATATATATATATAATCTGATTCTTTTCCATTATAGGTTATTGTAAGATATTGAGTACAGGTCTCTGTACTGTACAGTAGGTCCTTGTTGTTTATCTATTTTATATGTAATAGTGTGTATCTCTTCATCCCAAACTCCTAATTTATCCCTCCCCCGGCCCTTTCCTCTTTGGTAACCATACTGACTCACATCTTTACCTGCCTCTCGGGCACCTCCAGCTGGCTGCCTCACACGCCCTCTTCTGCTGCACCATATACCTGGGCACTTCCCCACGTTTCCCTGCACTGCACTTGGGGTGATCTCATGACTAGTTCTGGCCAATGGGATGCCAAGTGTCGCTTCTGGTGGGGGTATTTAGTACCTGGTGTGCCTCCCCTCTTAATCTCTTCTCCTTAAGGCCAGGACAAGACAGTGAAGGCTCAAAACAGAAACATTCTAGGTCCTGGAGTCACTGCTTAGAAAAAGCCACTGGACCCTCACTGAAATGTGAGAGGAATAAACTTCTACGGGGAAAACTTACTGAGAGCTGGGGATCACCTGACATAGCAGCTAGTGTTCATTATGCCCATACACCAGCCTCCTTTACCTGGCAAGTTCCTACCTATTGCTCAGAACTCCAATTCAAACGTCACCTCCTCTGTGAAGTCCAGCTTCCACGGGAAGGTCAGCCCTCCATCCTCTGACCTCAAGCAATTCCTCATGCACTTGGCATAGAACTTATCTGAAATTATTGACCGCTTTCTGTTTGCATGTTTGGTGCCCACATTTGTGTCTGCTTCTGCTTCCATTCTTGTGCTCAGTGCCTTGCAAGCAGCAAACGCCTTGTATGTTTATTTGCTGAAGCCAAGATTAGAGCCTCCTTGCTCAGGTGACCAGCCAAACCCCTAGTCAGCATTTTCCTGAGTCACCGTGTTCTCTGCGCTATGCAAGGCACCGTGGGAGGCGGCAAGAAAAGTACATAATGCTGTCGCTCACCTCAAGGAGGGGTTTTTTATCTCTAACTCCTCTGCACCCCACTACCATCCATCTTTATTAAAGGACAGCTTCCACTTAAAAAGTACCAGGTCTTTTCAGGAATCATCAGCTAAAACATTTCTCAGAGAGCAAGATCAAAGGGGTAGTGGAGTGACGAGCAGAAAGCAGAACAGGGCTGTCTCATGGTCCCTTTGAGCCTGGCTCACTCAAGCCTGCCACAGTTTAGATTAGTGACCTGGCCCCCTGGGATCATGCAGCTGTGTTGAGGTTATTTCTGGTGTAAAAAGAACAGCAGCAAAAGCATCGCTGGCTGGTCGGGGACCCAGATGTGGAGACAATAGCCCAACCACACCAAGTCATGTCGTCACCAGGTGGTCAAACTTCCCAAACCAAAAAGCACAAAACCGCATCACTGGCCAGGGCAACAGAACAGGGGACCTTGGCTGTGAGCACACAGTGAATTGGCTGAGTAATGTGTCCTGTGAGTAGTTCCCATCCTCCCAAGACTTTTTTTTTTAATTAAAGTATAGTCAGTTACAATGTGTCAATTTCTGGGGTACAGCATAATGCCCCAGTCATGCATATACATACATATATTCATTTTCATAAATTTTTTTCATTATAGGTTACAAGATGTTGAATTTAAAGGATGAGATGTAACTCTGAGTTCCAGCCCAAAGGAAGTATTGGCCATAAATAAGTGATGATCAATTAATAATGCAAGGTTTTCACAATAATTCCCACCAACTAGCATTTTACCTGCCGCAGGCATGACTCTGCTATGGAGATGGAGACATACGCGACATTAAACATATGTACGTTAAACATCAGGTTGGCTGCCAGTGCTAGCAAAACTGTTCAGACAGAAAAATCCACAACAAAGAGGTGTGGCAAACCAGGCGCTGTGCCCACAGCAGCAGGAGGGCACAGCGGGGCTCCCAGGACATTCTCCTGGTAGGACTTTCAGAGTCACAAAGGGCACAAGATTAGACACTGCAGTGTAATGAAGCCTCATCTACAGACAGTAGGGAAGATTAGGAAAAATAAAAAAATTGGAGCGGTAACTTAGTAGAAGGGAGCGGTAGAATCTGGGAGGTTTGCAATAGTGCACCTTGTGTTCGGTGTCACATATGGTAGGTAAAAGATACATCAAATAAGGAACACTTAAAGCCACAGCTAAACACAGGAACTGGTTCCTGGCTGGTACTTTTATAGGTCACACACCATGCACAGAGTAATGAATGCCTCCCCCAGTCCCATACGTGGCACCAACTGCGTTATGTGGAAAACAAGAAACTGGCTGAAGACAGCAACTTACCTTGGATGAAGATCCTAGTCCAGTAGATTTTCCCAACATGGTTGCCCCCAAGAAATACCAGGTTGGACAGGATCAGCATGGAGGTGGAACAAGACGCCAGGGCAGCATGGAATCGGCGGCGAGCTGGCGGGGAGAGGAGCTGGGCCTGTGGGAAAAGGCAAGGAGGAACCTCATCACACGGGTGGAAAAGAGAGGGCGGAGACGTCACACAGCCTGTCTCTGTTGCCAGCTCAGGATGCCTCCCCCCGGAGCCTGAGGTCAGCTGCTATTTAAACAGCTCTCAGAACTTCTATTCCTGCAAGATGCTCCTTCTGTTCTAAGGAAAGAAGTGATACACTCCCAACGTGTTACTTCGACTGCCAAAATGGGCTTCCCCTCTGACGAGTGCAACACAAGCCCTGAACCTAGTGAGGATTTAGCTGAAATGTCTCCGCACACTTTCCGCTCATAAATCTACAGGTACAAGAACTGTTGAAACTGCTCTGCATGATGACAAACACAGCTCCATGTAATGAGGTCAAGATCGGGGCGATGTTCTGGGCCAGTGAGCTCGACCGTGGGAAGCCATCGCATAAATCTGACCCAGTGTCAGGAGCAATCCCATTAAAAGAGTGCAGGAGAATCCAGACAAGCCGACTCCACTCCTGGAATGAGAGCTCAGGGTACCTGCCCCACTGACAGCATCAGAGAGTGGTGGCTCATCACAGCACCTGAAATACCGGGAACAGGAGGGATGTTTTCCAGCAGTGATGACAAAAAATTCTGCTCATGCATCCCAGGTTTTCATTACACTTCTTCCCGCCCTTTTAATATTTTCTCTGGGATTTCGCAAAGGAAATCGAGCCCTTATTTCTCACCATTGATCATTCTGCTACCCTGCCGAGTGAGATCACAGAGCTGGGCCTGGAGTGAGTTCCAGAAGCACAGGCACAGGGATTGTCCTTGGGGACTGCATATTCAGAATGTGAGCCAGACACAGGGGCCCAGGGTTTCTGACAAACACCTCAGCCAAATCCAGAGACACAGAAGAGAGAGGGAGCTGAGGGTCTAGAGATCCTTCCTGATTATCTTCCTGAAACCTCCGTGTTTCCAGGGTCACCTGCATCTTGATTTCAGCTGTGCTCCAGTTACAGATAGAATTCTGAGTTACCCAAATTCGTAATGGGCTAAAAAGGACTAAGCTAGAGGGTGAGTATCCAGCAGGAGATGTACTCATTTCTGGCGACCCCACTGTGGATCATCTGTGGCTACTCTGTACACCTTGGTCAGTGTCCTCTGAAAGTCCAGAGAAGTGATTTCCTGATCCCCTCTCCTCTTCTCGCCTGCCAGTCCCAGGTGTGTTCTCTATGCTCAGATATACCTGCTACCATAGAACTTCCCATCCAAGGCTCTCTCCTCCAGCATCACTTTGGAGCATGGCTTTAGCAGTGACTGAAAAGGTGGGGGTGAGAGGAAGCAGGGAAGGGACGGTGGGACCCAGAATAATAAATCAAGAAAATACGAAATGTTCTAATTGGTATAAATGTGCCCAAAAAATTCTCTCCAGGGACAGGAGACAATACATTTGATTTCTAAGGGGCCTGAGGAGTCAGACATTCCGCCACTCCGGTTCTAACCCCACCACTTCTCCCCAACCTTGTATCTTCTTAGGGGAATTCAAAGGCCCCACGGATCTCTCCCTTTTTAATGTCAATTACAAAAAGCACACATTGCTTGGTCAAAGCTCTAAGTGGTTCTCCTTTTATGGGAAATGTTTACAATGATTAAATAATCAACAGATAATGAGAAAGGAAAACACTCCTTGCATTGGGCTGCTAAGCAGGGCTGTGGTGCTGGGTTACCTGGAACAGGGCCGAGGGTCAGGCTCCGGTGGGAGGCAGAGCTGGGGGGCAAGGGCAGAGCAAGGGAGGAGGTGCAGGGGAGAGTGAGTGCTGGAGGCACGGGGATCTGCCTTCTAGCACCGAGGCCCTGGTTCCTACGGCTCTTCCTCTGATTCTCTGGTTAACCCAGTATCTTTCCCAACTACGTGATTCAATAAATTCCTATTTCTGCTTAGGGGGAAAAAGTCAAAATAATAGTAATTACGAAAGAGCCTCCGATCTCAGAGACAGGAGGGAAGACGTCTAAAACCTGAAATGACTGACTACAATTCGATCTTTAGAAATAGTTAATTTATTTTTTAAAAAATAAGCAAGAAGTTTAAAGCCGCAGACTGTTGGAATCAATGAGAAATCAAGACGCTCATAGGCAGTTCTGGATTATCCCCCAGGGCGAGTGGGTGGAAGACAAAATAGATGATAAAGAAAATCCAAAAACCTAATAGACCCACCCTCTGAACTGACAAAATTCGCCTTGCCAACAAGCAGCAAACTTGACAGAGCATTGCATCTCTTCACTGTGAATCAGTAGGAGGGCAGAATGACAGCTCAGGAGGAAGGAAAAAGAGGACCTGTCTGGAGAGTCCACAGGAGGGTAATAATTAACAGCAAAGGGGCTGTAAGTCTTGGCTACAACTCGTCTTTCCTCTTCAGAGTCCCTGGACACACTGCAGAAGATGGCAGATTCAAGGTCAGGGATTTCCTTCTATCTTGGGAACCATCTCGCCTGAGTCATTGGCTTACAGAAGTTATAGAGGTAAGTACCATACTCAGGGTTCCCAGGAGGGAAAAGGCCATATGGGCAAGGCTGGAAGGGTACATACCCTTGGCCCAGGCAGCTCCATCAATAAATACAACTTTCACAGTCCCTAGGACCACAGTGCCAAAGTCCCCACTTTAAACCCTATGTTTCTCCTGCACTGTCTCCTCTGAAGCCCTGTTGCAATCACTGGCATTCCTCCCACAGGCCTTCACGTCGGGGATCCAGGTGGCCCATGTGTAGGGTCAAGTCTCACGTCTCAGTCACCTGTCCTCTTGACTTAGGTGCTTGAAAACCCTCTTGGTAAGAAAATTTGGGTTGAGGAATTATAAACTAAGCAGGGGGGGGAAAGAATTATCAGGTATGAAAATAAGAATGGCCAACATGATCAGATAAGGCAAAGATGCTCACTTCCACTAACGTGAATGTACCAGGATAGAAGAGAGCTCTGGTCTGGTCATGCTCTCTTCCCAGAGGACAGACGAGTCTGTGGCAATCCAATATTCTGGCAGCAAAAACCTGGGAGTGGCACTGTCCCCCAGGGGAGGTTTGGGAATTTGCTGGACATTTTTGGTTGTCCCAGAGACAACATAATTGCCAAGAGGGAACTGTGGCATTTGATGGGCAGGGGCCAATGATTAGAAACACACTGCAATGTGTGAGACACAACTGTCCTGCCCTGAATGTCAATAACGCCCTCTTGAGAAAGGGAGAAATGTTTTCTGCATTCACTGCAGAGCTAACCTCTCTCAGCCTAAGGGGCACAGAACCTCCCTTCCTCTCTCATTAGGAGCAATGCCAAAAATGTGCTCCCTTACCCCTGGGGCCCAGAAAAATGCATCCCAGGGTAGGGAAAGGGCTCCCTTACAGCACCCCAGTGCCAGACCCCTCTCACATTCTCCCCTGCCGCCATCTGGCATCAAATTTGAATGAGGACGAGCCTCCTGTGCCGCCAGCCATGTTTAGGTAATACGTACCATCAGTTCCAACCTCCGCACCCCTACGGCCTGAAACCCGGAGGAGAGAGGAAGAATGGGGGGGGGGTAGAGAGGCTTAGAAGGTATCCCTTTGGCCCCTACTGGGTGACCAGTTCTCCCGCACAGACTCTGACTTCTGTGACAGGTTGGGGCAGACTCCCTTCATGTTCACGTCAATACAGCCCACACTTCAGGCCCCTCAGAACACCCAGAAGGGCAGGCCCGGCCAACCTCTAATTCCTCTGTGTCTCTGACGGAAGAAGCGAGAGCTGGCTGGCGGAAATGTTACAACGACAGTTTAGCGGCGGCTCTAAACTTTCCTCTAAGGCACTGCCTCCAAAGGTAAGGCACGTAAACAAAGTCAGCTGAACTAAACTTCCATCAAAAGGCTGCAGTTCCTGCTGCCAGGTGTCTGCCTGTGTGTTTATTCACATCTCCATGGCGACGCCTCTATCTTTCCCCATCCACATCCTGTCCCTGGAAATCAAAGGACCGGCTGGGCACACAAGCTGGGGCCTGGGAGGGGGGTGTGGCCCTTGGAATCTGGGTCAGAAGGGATGCTCAGAATGTCCGTGGGGGCAGAGGCAGATGGTGCAGTGGGGCAGCAGGCTGCTGTGCTCCGTGGGCCTCATACTCGTCCAGAGGGACGGCACATGGGGCCGAGACAGGAGGAGGAGACGGGCGGAGCATCTGGGGGAACAGATGGGCCGGAGGAATGGCTGCTGGAGATGGTGACAAAGGCTTGGCAAGTGGGACCTGATGCTGTTTATTTTTAAGTAGGGGAGAAGCTAAAAAAAGAAACTGGGTAGGTTTGAGCAGCTGGACACAGTTTTTCCGTATAATCACTGAAGTGTTTCATTTTCTAATAAAAATGCTAACCAGAGGGTAAGAGAGGACGAAGAAGGAAATACTAATGGGGAGACTCGGGCAGACCAGGGACAGCAAACGAGGGGTGCACACCCCACAGGCCAGAAAGACAAGACCAAAGACAACAAGAGAATCAGTTACAGCTCCTGTGACGGAGAAGGGTGGTCAGAGTGAAACTCAGGATCAGAAGGACCCAAACTCCAAGGTCATTCCACGGCCCCTGTCCCATCCCTGCGCCAACCTGCCAGGACACTGCTCCCCTTGCTTCCCTCCTCAAGGCACTTGGATCATTTGCATTTAGGAGTCCGTGTTTTACCAGTTACCCTCTCTCTCCCCTGTTCCTACCAGCATGGTCAGTGCCAGAAGGATGGGGCGGCCTATTCCTCAATCTGTATCACCCAAAGGCCCAGCAGACTCTGGTTGCGCTTGATAAACATCTCACATCTGTCCCTCTGTCCTAAATAAGTTAGGGACTCTCCTGACTTCCTCACTCTTCCATCCCCATCCTATATCCAAGCCAAATAAATACACGCAGGCACTCGAGAAAGCAACACTCTTTTCCTTCTTGTATGTGTATGGAGCTTCAAAAAGTATCTTGGTCAATGAAGTTAAATTTTTCCAGTCGTTGCTACTGGGATCGAAGCAATGCATTCTCCTGAGAGAG